GTACACAGCTCAACATCGCTGCAACTGCCCCGTCTCCATCGCTCCCCCTGACCACCCCCGCCCTTCTAACCTACGAACAAGCAGGAATCGCCGGCGCACTCGTCGCCGTCTGCGCCAAATCCACCTCAGCCGCCCGCCGCCTTACGAGCCCCGGCAGCGTCTGCCCGCCGGCCTTATTCCACTTCGGCAGCTCCTGCGCGATCACCGTCGCCTCGTCCTCGCCGGCATTGAGCCGCTGGATCAGCGTCGACGACTTGACGTTGCCGTTGCCGACGTTGAAGGCCCAGGACACCAGCGCGCCGTACTGGTTGGCGTTGAGCACGACGGCAGAGGCCGTGTCGAGCGTGATGGCTTGTTGCGGCGACTGCGACGTACATGTTAGCGGTGCTGCTTCGTGTGCGACGGATCATGTGAGGACATGGGAGATGCAAAGAGCGGCGGCATACCTTGAGGTCGTCCTGCATGAGCTGTGTCGCGGTCGCCTCGGTCAAGGGGAACGGGTACGGGACCTCTCCGCATCCCTCCGTCTTGCACAAGTGGCCGTAGCCCACGGTCGGCAGACCGATTGGGTCTGGCTCCGGGCTCGCGACGAAGCCCTCGAACTCTTTGATCAGCGCGACAGTCGCGGCGTTGACGTTCGGGCCAGTGCACTGGCGCGCTTCGATGGGAGCCGCAAAGGTCGCTGGAAGGAGCGCAAAGCCGACGGCGAGGAGCTGGGTGTACATGGTGAGAAAGGATGGTCTTTTGGCAGTGTAGTGAGAAACGTGAGTCTGCTGGTAGGGCTGTAGGTAGGTAGTTGTTCTCCTCGTCTCTCGCTGTTCTCTACTCTCTTATATTCAATCCAGCTCGTAAACTTCATCAACTCCACCCGTATCCCGCGTATCCCCCATCGTCATGCTTGCACCCTCCACACCCATCCCCACCCCCAATCCGGAAGGCCCGAGCCCACGATCTGCACCTGTAGCCGTACCTCCCTCTCCTCTCATCTCGCTCTTCCTCGCGGTCCCTCGCAAACCCGTACGTCACCAGCGCAGCTCAGTTCAGTTCCGTTCCGTTCTATTCAGCTCCGCACCCTCTCTCTCCCAGCCACCCACATCACCATACTCTCTTTTTCGATCGCGCAATTCGTGTTTCCACCGCGTGTGCGACAGGACATGTCGTGTGCACGGAGCCCGGGCATCGTGTTTCGAAACGGGCGGGCGGCGGACTTCGTGTGGCGCCGATCGCGATCGGCGGGGCGGGAAGGATTGGATGCAGGGGGGGAAGCAAGGCGCGATAACGTGTAGTGCTGGGGATTGGGTATGTGTTATTTTTGGGTGGGGTTGGGGTGTTGATGAAGGCGGAGTTCGGGGGTTAAGGGGACTGGGGTTGAGGTGCTGGGTATAGGGACACTTGGGTGGTGGAGGGGATGGGTTGTGTGGCAAGTCCCGGGTCAAGCTCATACATCTAGCAATGTTGGCATGGATGGAGTAGTAAGTAAAGGGTCATAGCGTTTCGTCTAACAAGGTCAATATGGGTATAGCGGTAGTAAAGGGTCAAGCTCAATTATCTAGCAAGGTTGGTCCATCGCGCATTATACCTTCCAGCTGACAATACGACCCAAGGAAGAGAAAAGCACCAAAGGATCCACGACCAGTCCCAACGTCAAAAGAGGCAAACCGTCCCCGCTGGCGCCCGAAACCATCACCCAAATTGTTGCTGTAAACCGTTAGCAAGTCACCGCCCAAACCACGCACCCGTAAAACTCACATGATAGTCCAAAAACATCTACATACTGAAGAAGTAATCCGGTTCCCTGCCCTCGCCCGGCCACGCCTGTCCCGCCTGGCCCGTAGGCGTGCCCACCAGCCAGTCCCAGTACGCATACGGCAATCCGTAGCTCATTCTGCATCGCGTTGTTAGCCACCGCACTCGATCAGTCAGCCAGAACAGAACAGTCTTGTCACTTACCCCCAGAGCTTCACCAAGCTGTCGTCTCGCAACACCCTCCGTCCAGACGGCACGTTCCAGCGGAAGTGCTCCTCGCCGATTGTGTTGACGGCCCAGGGTAGCCGGATCTTGGTGTATGGCCACTGGTAGCACCAGCTCGGGGGGTGCATCAGCCAGTGGATGATCTCGTTGAGGGTTCTGTAGGGGCGGGGGCCGGGTTGCGCGTCTTGGGGAGCGGTGGCTGCGGCGGTTGTGGCGGTTGTGGTGGTGGGGACCGGGAGGGTATGAGCGATGACGGGCGAGGTCTGAGTGGCCGCGTCGGGGGAAGACGTCTGGGTCGCTGCGTCGGTCGAGAACGTCTGGGTAGCTGCGTCTGTGAAGAAAGTCTGGGCATTGGCGGCAGCGGCAGAAGACGGGAAGAGTTGGGCATCGGTGGCGACGGCGACGGCGATGGCGACCACGACGCACGGCTGCGCCGCAATCGACTGCTCCGAATGATCAGGCTGTGGTTGTTGCCCTTCTCTTCCTTCTTCTCCGTCTTGTTCAGTGGGCGACTGGGTGGTGGGGTCAGGAAGGGCGACCTTGGCCTCCCCATCATTCCAAGCTTGCTCCAGGTGCTCCATTGCGCTGTTGTTGGTGTTGTTAAAACGGGGAGATCGGAAGAGCAAAGAAGGTAGAACCGGGCGATATAGACCACGAACTAAAGTTTGTATATACCGAAGGTACGAGTCGCGGCGATGAAGCAAGAGAGTGGAAGAGAAGCGAAAGGTCTGTCCGCGAAAATGGTATTTATATATCCGCTGTCCGCTTAGCCGCTTAGAGCCGCCTTGCCCCCAGGTGAAAAAGAACCCGCACCGGATCGGCGAATCACCTTCGATGCCGCGGCTTTACCGACGCGTTTGGGTCCTTTCCAGGCGCGGCAGAGTCGATTCACCTTTCCAGTGAGACAACCCTAGTATAGGATGAGGCTCGTACGGGTACGCTATTGGGCAGGCTGGGGGGCAGCAGTGGGTGGAGTGGTCGTTGGTCAGAGCGCGGTGCTCGCGAGAGGTCGGTCCGTGTGGCAATGGGGTGCTGAGCGGGACCGCGGTGGGCGACCGGCGGGGTGCGGTGCGCGAGAAGAGAGCGGGTAGGCTGTACGGGCGGAGTAGGACCTGCTCGGCGATGGAAAGTCAACGGTATCGTGGGGTGGTTGTGGAGGAACGCGGAAGGTGACTGCCCATCTTCGGCGCGCTGGGCGCTCCTTCCACAGCCGCCATCGTCAGGACACCCATGCTTCATCGCGGGCGCGGGGGCGCGTGGTCCAGAGTCTGGCGTGTTCCAGGAGGGTCGCATTTATGAGTCGTCTGGTTCACTGGAATGACTCTACATGATGCTAGAGGCTTCGATAAGTCAATCAGCTTCCTGCTACGAGGTTTGCAACGAGGGTCTAAAAAGCTAACCTACAAGCTCGATAGTCTCATCCCACGACTCATACTGGCTGATCTAATGTCAAGTCCCCCCTCGGAGAAAGCCTCTTCTCTAGATCAGAATGAAGTAGCTCATACAGATTCAACAAGGCATCGAATTCGAGTCTCTCTCGTTCGCCCTCAAGCCCGAGATGCAGCTCCGTTCCCACGACTTCATACAGCACCGCTTTGTTCCACGGGTACCCACCCACTTCGCCTTGTATAGTGGTCGTGAAGTACTCTCCCCCTCCACTCCTGAGGGCGGGTTTCGCTTCCCCTAAAGATTTACGTTAGTTATGTAAAGCCTGTCGTGGTTCTGCTGGAGAACCCACGTAGTATCCTTTTTGTGAGAAGTTCCATCCTCTGCATAGTGTGCTCTTGCAAGTCGCGGGTAGAGCTGGCCTCTGCCATTGCGTGTGTTGATGTGAGAAACGTAAGAAACGATTGGGTGTAGTAGAGTAGGCTGCGATCTGGTACTGGATTCAGCGGCTTTGGGGAATGGACTGCGGCTTGAGTGTTGAGGTAAACGGAATCTGGCTTTTATATCCAAGGACCGACATTGCTTGGCCATCAGCTGTGCTACGAGGTACTCGTGAGCAGGTCACTCACGCTCATCAGGCTGGATTAAGATGTTTTCCTCTCAAACCCAGTGCCTGCTGGCACATGCAAGTATCCCTTTGCTGCTCCGTCTTTCCCGATACCATGCCACCGTACCGATTATGTATTTTGCCTACCCACAGGACCATGTGCTCCGCTTTTCACTACATTGTATTTGCGAGATGCTTGCTTGGACAGGCGACTCGGAGTCTCGTGTGGACGAAGCAATTAGGGGACCCTTCGCGGCGGATTTCAAGGGAAACAACTTAACTGAAGTTGGAGCAGCTTGAGCCATTGGGTGTCTGCGCGTATTGAAGCCTGCAGTGCCCGAGGTTAATGTGGTGATGTGCCATATGCACTCGAGTTAGCGAGGCCACGAAAAGTGCACCAGTGTTCGCACCTCTGCCCTCGTTGTCTGCCCTTGGCGTATGAGGGTTCTAGCCATTGCGTAGAGTCGTTCGTGCGACTCTGTGTCATTAGGGGAAGCTCGATGTGTCCCCGTGGTGTGAGTTTGTAGCGAGCAAGCAGAGGGTCGACGTCTTTGCGGAAGGAGCGGCGTGTGGCACTGGACGCTGTCAGGGGCATGGCAAGTCCCGAGCCTACGATAGCAGAATCACGAAAGCTGGCAGTACTGATAATTAACTAAACATGTTCGTGTAGGTCCATGGTCGTGGTAGGCGCGACGTGGACCCGGATGCATTGGCGGTTCCCGAAGAACTTGGATGGACCCGCAGAGCCAAACACTGGTGGAATGCCACTTCTATAGTGCGGCGAGTGACCTTAGAGATATTATAGCGTCAGTCTCCATGGAAAATATCAAATGTTCGTTGCATGCGGTGTTCTCGTCAGATAGTTCCTTCCCTTTATGGTAGAGTTCCGTTGGTCAAGGACGCCTGCTCCCTCACCCTTCCAGATCCAGTAGTTGCTACGAATAATGATGCTGTAGCTTCCACGCTGCTATTTCGCTGGTATTGGAATAGATCAGGATATATATTTATTTAGACGTCAAAACTTCAATAATTCAAAGGGCGTGTGGTGTAGTGGTAACATTCCAAGTCGACGAAAAAAGTCATTTGGAGGAGTTAGTGGTTCGATCCCACTCTTGCTCATTAGTAAAGGCTAAGTAGTACGGATACGTATTACTTAGCCTTTACTACTTTTTTGTTTTTATGACTACGAGTTTGCCGTTTTAGGAACTGTGCCATTTTACTAGAGAGACTTTCTTTTTGTAATCAACTGTTAAAGAAGAGATCGACATGACATACAGGGTTGAGACTTAATGTCTAGTTTAGCGCTACGGAACAAGGCAATCGCTAACCGCATCTCCTTACTAAGTTTCATGAAATGCCTACACTATGCTCACTCTGTCATGCATTCGATAGCCAAGTTACATATAGAGTAACCACACCTCTAGTACACAGACGTCTGATACATTGTGAAGTTAGATTGAATTACGAAGAGCCTAGGCAACAGATTTGGGTGCATTTCTACGATACTCATTTCCTATGCTTTCTTTATTGGAGAAAGCCTTGAAGCTGCTAGCTGAAGTGTACGTTCAAAGATGTAAACCATGCCTCTTTGGAATGCTACTTTTGATATCGGACAATCCGGACACCCCGCTTTGTTTATCTACACCAGTATGCCCGACTTGCGTGCCTCTACGAACCCTCATATCCACGGAACGCTGGAAGAGATCTTGTAGCCATCGGGACGCGAATGCGAGCCTCCACCGCAGAAGCCAGCGAACAAAACCGGGCGTTGAAGGCGTGTCATGTCTGTCTCGGGCTTGCGCTCCCATCCAATCGGAGAGGCACAGGAGGATCACGTGTCCGGGAGTGTTCCAGTCACCCTGATAAGCTTCGTTCATTGGCTTCACGGGCCGAGCTCGGCACTCGGCAACACTTTGATCGTCAGTCCGAGCGTTTCGGGATGAAGTACGAAAATTCTGCCAGATGTGACCAAGCACTGCCTATACCTGCCCGTACCCCGCTCTCTTGCCTCTTCTTTTCTCCTCCGCCACACTCACTTACGCAGCCCCACCAGGTAAGTCTTCCAGTCTCGCTATCTGTACTGCAATATACTGACATTTGACGCAGGACCGTTTACTTAGTCTTTACTAATCCAGGCCCTCCCTCGGGGGGGCCAAGTTCACGGATTTCAAGATCCAGAATATCGTTGGATCGTGCGACATCAAGTTCCCTATCCGTCTGGAGGGCCTCGCTTCGCGTCACTATACCTTCTCTAGTTATGAACTAGAGCTCTTTCCTGGCCTTATTTATCGTATGATGAAGCCGAAGATTGTCCTGCTCATCTTCGTCTCCAGCAAGATCGTCCTCACCGGTGCTAAGGTCTGCGAGGAGATCTACCAGGCATTCGAACGTACACGTTCTCAAGCTATGAGCCCGAGCTGTTCCCTGGTCTCAACTACCGAATGATGAAGAACAAGACGAAGAAGACATGTTCGCGGAGGAGGTCAAGGATGAAGAGCCGGCTAAGAATGAGGTTGAATTCATGGACGATGCCGCCACAATATCTTTCGGCTTCATCGCTAGTAGCTGTGCAGGACGTGCATGGCGTGGAGCGCTCCTCGTTCGAGGAGACAGTCGAGATTCTTCTCGAAGCCGCTGGCTTTGGTGAGCTCGACGACTGCCGTGGAGTCTCTGAGAACATAATGCTTGGTCAAACGGCGCCCATGGGCTCACCCAACGTTTCAATCACCATGGACGTTAAGAAGTTGAGCTTCGCGGCAGGAGGATCACCAAGGCCCTGGCAGACGGTGGGCCGGACTCCTCGCTGATCAAGCTGCTCACCGATCTTCTCTCGACCATGTCGCACTTCAACAATCTCGAAGGCGGCGTCAGCACGACCGAGGGACTCCTGCGACAAACGGAACGGCGTCGCCATGGACCGGATGGGCTACGACAAACAGGCTTTATGTACTCTCTCTTGGATTATGTTTTGTCCGTCGTGAAGTTGGCTGCAGTGCTTGGAAATCATATGCGGGCTTGGGTATGGACAATGGACAGTCGTTTGGTTAGCTACTCAATCTTCATGTGGCTCTTCGAGGTCCTTATTTTTACATGCTATCTGTGCTTCAACTCTCGTGCTTCTCGTCTCGTGCATTCGAGACATCGTGCGTGCTTGGGTGCCGCGTTGCCTAGTACTCCATCGCCGATGCGCACAATAAATCCATGTGAATACTTCTGTCTAGAGCAGACTTAATAAGTACACTGCTAACAAGATCGCTGTGAGCTTGCGATGAAATTGTTATATTATGCATTCGGCACGTCAAGTCTTCTAGCTGTAAGGTTGTTGTCGGATGTCCAGACAGCTTCTCACCAAAATTAGTATGAGATCCTGTCTAGCGACCAGACCAACCTTGTTTAGCAACTCGACTAACACAGACGCTCATGACCACAGCGTGCGCGATCTCAAGTCTAGCTTCTGCATCCTTTCCATTTGTCATATCTGTCTATAATATTTGCATGCAGAAACTCATCGTGGAGAGTGCGGCGGCGATTCGCACCTGAAGTCTTGGTCCACCTCGACGCAGCGTCCTGCGCGCTTCTTGGTCACAAGCAGCATGCCCTAGCTCTTGTATTCCTGCCTAGTGTCTCAGTGCTTGTATGCCGTTCCAATAGCTCGTCATGTTTCGTAGATATACTGCCTAGAAATGTGTGGCATGATCTCCCTTCTCCAACCATGGAATAACCGGAGCCCTTCTTTAGACTATGATGACCTTCCGTTCTAAATGATCCATGAGATGTCATCGTCGCGCAGGCTCCAGAACCCAGAATCGCGCTCAGCTCCGCGTTTGAGGCTTCGCGAGATGGGGATGGGGTAATCCATTTCTTCAATCGGACTGCCGGTAAACCTTTCCACTGAAGCTTTCCAAGCTCTGCCGAATGTTTGGAGGCATGCGCACTCGTATTAGTCGTTGCCTATTCGTGAGATTCGGTATCGAAGAGGTTATCGGTGCCTGAATCCAGGCTGGGAATGCCTTATATCCCTACAACCCACATGTTTCAGTCAGTAATATTCGATAGTTCGTTTTCAGAGTCAATTCACATACATCGGCTCTGTCCGTAAGACTCTCAAATAATCACGGGATTGCGGGCCCAAAAGTGCTTAGGTAATGTTCCTTTGACAAGTCGAGCGCGATGCATCTTGAGCCAGCTTGTCAAATTTCGATATATCTCCCTCACCCAATAATCTCCATGCTACCCGGGAAAAATTACCCTCGTTACATGGAGGGGAGGCTCGTAGTTCCTGCCGTATTGCGTAAGAGAAGCGGTGACGTGCTTATGCAGCTAGTCTCGGAGGTTTTCGAGCCGGCGTTTTCTGAGCCGTGCATAGTTCGCATCGGCGATGCGCTAACCAACGACATGTCTTCTCGCACACAGTGCCCCTCACCTTCACCCTCCAGCAACCTTCCATATCTCTTCTCAACTACTGCGAAATCCTCCGTAATCGATGCGCTCAGTATTCTCGATTCGTTCTCTCACTCGACGCCGTTGCGGGGGCGGCGGGACGGCTCACGGCACGAAGCCCAGGAGGAGCCTCCATCGCCTCTTACCTCCTCCCATCGAAGATCGCGGACTTGAATAACTTCTCCATCATCGGAAGTCGTGGAATATAGGCTGTGGGGGCGTGTAGGGCGTGCTGGTGCGTCGGGGAGCGGTGGATGGCTGCGTTGCTGGTGATGGCGCGCTCGGACCTCTCTGCAACACTCTCTCACGTCGATCATACTGTGTATACTAATTCCGAGTATGTAGAAGATTGCGATCGGTTCGATAGATGTGTATTCCCGGGACGTCCCTGAGCGAATCGGAGGCGTTGGCCGAAATGCTGCGTTGCGGTGCCTCGAGCGGACGATCGAATTCGAGATTTACAACGCACTTCCGTGTTCATGACCTTGTGCATCCCGAGTCGAAGGACAAAGTAAAAGTGGCCAGCCTCTCGTATAACAAGTGTCCAGGACGGTCGTCGGGCGATCCGCTGGGTATGCGCATACCTGGGGAAAATACTGGGTGCATGGATAGGGCTCCAATGCCACTAGTATTCAATGCCGCTCCATTCAGCCCGTGGCACTAGAGTTACTGACGTTGAGAACATAGTGCGCTACATGAACTCTGTAGGGCAAGTTCATGGATATGCTGATCTGCAGCTTCTCGTGCTCGTGACGATGGTGGTTAGTTGCATTACTGTGGACTACTAACGAAGTCGGAACTTCAGCATATTGCTTTGTTCTCCAAAGTTACGCATACAGCCATCTATACGAAGTGCGCACCCGTCGGTTCTAGCTGGACGTCGTATTGGACGCTGTTGTGGGTCCTCAGGACCATCTCCGTTTCGGGTATACAACATAGTCGAGCCGCTGTCCCCGTTAATACCCATCGTAGACCCTTGCGTTTCTCTATTCGAAGCGTGAAACGAGAACAGATTTGTTGAAATCGATGTATGCTAGATGATCGGTGTGTGAGGTACTGACATCCTCATAGCCGAACGGTGTACTGCGGTCGACCATCTATCGGCGCGACGAATATTCGGTAGGATTCGTTCGTTACCAGACCTTGCTGGGGCTAAGCTGGGAAGGCATGGTTCGTTCCAATCGGTGGATCGGGTGTAAGTTCCCTGAAATGGCTTTCGTGTGGCTCTCAGGTCATGCTCGCCTGCGACCGGTATGATGTCGCGCGGATAGATGACTCCTGTGTAGCCCTCCCTCCCCTTAGGTCTTCCGGGGATCTTGATTTGCTAGTATTCTTCTTGCACTAAAGCGGTTCTCCCAGTGTCGACTGGGACAATTTCCTCACTCGTGGTCCCTCGATGCGGTTCTTTTCTTCCAAGGGTTCGGCTGCGGAGTATCATTGACCTTGCCGGCTGTGGAGATGAAACCTTGTTCGCGCTCCTTTGAATTCCTATAGGTCGTCTGTAAACCCCCGCATGGCTGGGTTTCCCTTTGTGCTGACTCTGTGCGCTCAGTCTACCGGGGCGTTGTCAGTTGTGGTCCTCGAAGCGGTTCCTCTGTTCGAGCGCGGAGCGTCATCAGCCTCGACGGCTGTGGTAAATAGACGGATGTTCGCGCTCCCGTGTGTCGCCAATGGGTCTA